GTATAGCATCTTTTGTAATTGACTGTAAAAAAAAACAAGGTTCTTAAGAGTTTTCGGCACAAAAAGCTTTCTTGCTAGTCTGAACTTTGAAAAGGTAATATAGGTATTAAAAGGGATAATTCGTAAAGCGCTAAGCTTAAGTAAAAAAAAATCTTAGGAAGAAAATACAAGTTAAAATGTGATAAAAAATATATAACAAATGAAGAGTAAACGTAAAACTATTTATAGGAAACAACTTTGTGTAAACCCGTTTGAAACTTGCAATAAGAGTGTAATTTAAAAAACTTACCAAACGAAAAAAAGAATTATGAAGAAACTATCGTAATTGAAGATACATATAATAAGAAATCTTATCAAAAATGTGATTTAATGAAAGTATGTAGAAAAGTTTTTATAATCTCATATGATCCAAGGAAAACATCAAAAGAAAAATGCAAATTCAGCGACAGATTATAATATACTCACGTCTATTCATTTGCTTGCAAGATGGTTAACTGTTCCTGGATAAAATCATCTGATTGTATTTATGGAATCGCTTATCTTTGAAATATATTTTTTTAATACTCTTATAAAGAAAATATACGATTTGTAGAGTCTTTAGGGAGTCACAAAACGTATCCGAATAACCAAATAATTATTTAGTCGATAAAATGAAGTGTTAGGCAGAGCTGTTTTGTTTTCAACATTATTTATTGTATATTCGGAAGATATAATTAAGAAAGCACTTGAGAATGAGACAAATACCATGTACGCCAAAGAAGCTTCAAATTGTGATGTTTACTCGGCCTTGAACAAGCAATGCTTGAACGAACTGCAGAAATTTCAGATCTGGGCGTACTGAACAATCTTACAAATCTTAATTATAAATTAACTAACCAGAAAGTACCACAAAATGGAGGCACGTGGTGGCAATAGCTACAGAAATATTCACGGCAATTGTAGCATTGGGAGAAGGCGGACATCTTTGTTATTCTATTTAACTGTTCCGAACAGCAGCCTAGAGGCTTAAAATTGTAATGATAATAGGCAACTCTCGTAGCGGAGATGGCAAATGAAGAAGAGAGATTACACTTGCAGAATTTAATCACTTTCTGTTTAGTGTCCCATAAATGTTTTCAAACTCAACACGATTGAGCAAATATCCTTCCCTACGAGAAATAATAATTAATTGGTTCTATTGTTTGAGGTTGTTCTGAGATTTGAGTTGGTTCTATTCCATCTGCCATATCAGGCTTATCTTTGTCCGAATCATTATCAATGATTGACGAATGGCCTGAATCTTCTTCATTGCTAGACTGAGTGTTATTAAGAATTTCTGCTAAGCTACTCAGCAATATTCTTCCCTCTAATTTCATTTTGTCACTTTTATGTGTAGTGTTAAAAATGCCAGATAAGTTTTGTAACATCTCCTTAGCCTCTCTTGATCTAGTGGATGAACTGGAAGAACTAGAGCTCTTTGCATTAGGTTCAGATTTTGATTTTCGGCTCGGAACTAGTTTGTCAATTGTTTTAAAAACAGTCCCTGTATCCACTTTATGATCGTTTTCTTCACATTCACGTTGAGGAGTAGAATCAAGGGGTCCATTTTTAAAAATATTTTGATGGAAGACTCCGATCCCGGTAGAGAATCTCTAGGTATTTTACAAATAAGTGACCTGGATGTAAATTTTGGAAATGACACGGACAAAACACCAGATATTAAGTTATCGTTTATTGATAAAGTTAATCAGACTCATCAGTTTTTAGTTACAGGTTTTCTTATTACTAGTCCATCAAAATTCTTAATATCTGCTATATCACCTAATTCAGTATTATCATTTAACAGTAACAGTTTAGAATTTCCATCAAAAATTTTTACATTAACCAGAACTGATTTTAATAGTTCACTTTTTTCTCCCAGCAAATCACTTTTCAATACTGCTTATATTATAAATTCCCGTGACGTAGAACAACGTAATAGGATTAACTCTCAACCTCTGCCAGCTAAAACGACACAGGGAGAAGTTGCCTTCTGGAGCACAAGGAGGCCAAACAACAAAAAGGTTTGGATATATTTTGTTGTGAACAACTGAAGTTTGATGATGACAAAGATGACATGTTTCAGGACTCTGTATTTATTGAAGGAAACCACATTGCACAGAAATTAGCTGATGGCTCATTTTTAAATGAACATTATGAAAATGGACCCCTTGATTCTACTCCTCAACCTGAATGGTCAACTGACATGGATGACAGTGAATCACGGAATGAAGAAAATGATGATAAAGTGGATACAGGGACTGTTTTTAAAACAATTGACAAACTAGTTCCGAGCCGAAAATCAAAATCTGAACCGAATAGAGAAATACCGGAAGTATCTTTCCAAATAAAAAAAAAAGTTTTTGAAGTTCATTTCAGAGCGGCATCAATTCCGTACAGAAATGTGAAGCTGTAAGCACTTATTAGTTTTTTAAAGCAAATGTTGTTTTGTTATTTCAAATTACTTATAAACCTCAAATACGATAAACCTATTATCGGTAATTTTATAGAAGCCACTTTAAACAAAATTTTCATATCACTAAATATAAAGTATCGTTTTGACCAAATGCATCTTAAAATTGACTATGAGCAGCAACAGTAACATTGATCTAAATGAAAAAAAAACCCATGAACCTAACATTAGTGACAAAACATTTATTATGAAAACATTTTTCTGACGGATATTCCTAAGTTAAGTTGATTTCTTGTAATCGAATGAACAATCTTAGAATAAAGTCATCCCAGGAACGCAACTCGGTTATATTGGCAATATCATTTTTAAGTTATCTACTTAAAAATGTATAATATATGTCTGAATTGTCAATATAAATGAGTCAGATAAAATTAATTAGAAGAATTTTTCACAAGTTGTAGCATAGTAAATTTCTTAGTATACAATTTTCTAAGACGTCCCTGATCCGAGTATAAATATTTCCCTGTTTAATTGTGATGTAAAAGAAAAATATGGTTTTATTCTTTTATCATCGAGCAAAAAGACAAAAGAGGGAATCTAAACCTTATGAAAAGGAGACCAAAAAAGTGGCCTCTGATGGCGGACATATCCGGAAATGCGAATGCGCCAAATTTAAATTTTCCGACACTTATTAACAGTAGCTATATAATATTTTTCAGAATGTGTCTTAGACGAGAAAGTTTTAATTAATTATTAACGGTAATAGTCTAAAATTCGACAAAATTGTTAAAAAAACTTTAATATAAATAAGATTTCATGTGACATTTGGGACAAACAATAAAATAACCCAACTAAATTTGATGTCAAACAAGGAGTGAGACTCTCTTTCCTTGTTTAATGTGGCCTCTAAAGATCGCACTTCCTGTCTAACAAAATTTTTGCTCCCCTACCTTTACATTCCCTCTTTTGTCTTTTTGCTCGATGTCTTTTATACGTGTGTATTTCTACAATTTTAAAAAGTAGTTTGATTCAAGGTCGTTTGCGAGATAGTTGAGGACTGTTAAAAACAAGAATTTTGGGTTTTTAATGACAAGAACCGGTGGAGAGATAAGGTAAACGGTAGCCCTTGCCAGTATTAGATCGAGGTCGAGGGGAATTCAAGTTTAGGTGGAAATGGGGAACCAAAGTGAACAGGTCGTTATGTAGTTTTACCAGAAGCCGGCATATTTAGTTAAAAATAGTGGAATTTTACTCTCTGTTAATATGTTAAATTTGGAAGAGTAACCATTATTTATTTTTTTTTAAGTATCTAAGAGATTTGTGTCGTTTACAACAAATTTGAAATATGCCCACATTGTTCCAGTCCTTTTACGAGGCATATTTCCAAGTTTTGTGTTCGGTGCCAGCTTCATTCAACATCAAATAGTCAGTCTTATTGCAGTGTGAGATGTAGTTTTTTGTTCCAGTAGCAGAAGTTTTAGTGGATCAATTTTGTGAAACTCAGATAACTTTCATTTGTGTTCGAATTTTAAAGTAAAAATAGACAGTTAAAAATAATAATTGCTTTCATACAATTAAAAATAATGTAACAATTAATAATGTAAATCTTAGGGTGTGGCTATGCTGTCATTTTAATTGTTAAGATTTAGTTTTGACATATGAGAGCTAATTTTATTATTTTTGATATCTAGTAACTATCTTATCACATTTGAGATTTTTGTTTTGTCTTAGAAAAAGGTTAAACTTTATGACTAGTTTTATTTAAAGGGATAATTCTTTTATTTGTATTAAGTTATTTTTGCCACAGTTTATAGTTCAGTAGTTTATAGCCCAGTAACAATTTCTTGAAAGTTTTTGTAGCATCTCCTACTTGTAAACAGAGTTTGTAAATGGATAGGACAATGTAAGTTTTTTCTTCTTTATTATTTTGGTATAAATCTCTGTAACTATTAATATTGTATATTCTGTGCCATCTATATTTTGTAACGGTTTGTGTTGAAACAAAAATAAATGTTTAATTTATTTCTTTAAATCATTTTTGTTTATTTTAGCAAAATCTCCTAATCCCCTTTGTGTGTTTTTTTTAAGGAAAGAAGAGCCTTTTTTTCTTTTATACAGCAAGACTAGGATCCTTCGACGTCCTTATTTTAAATAGCTAGAGGCCTTTCTTGTTGTTTTTGTTTGCCCATTTATCCAGGAGATACATGTAATTACCCTATCTTATTTTATTTTTGTAGTTGCCCCAATCCGACCCCCTGTCATTGCTCCAGGGCTCCGAATAAGCCCTGAGTGCCGTTCGCATAAGTTTCGATTTGTTTTGCTTGCCCTATCTCTAGCCCAATAGTTTCTGTCCCCAATTTTCAACCCCCATAATAATATCCTACGTGATAGGCAAAATATTTCGTTACAAAGTAACAAAAAACAAATTTGTTTAATTTATTAATGGTTGTATTTTGAGAACGATTTCCGAAGTGGAAATTGAAACGACAATAAACTTGTTTTAAACTTCAATTGTGGCTTATTCCCATTAAAATAATAATTGCTTTAAAATGCCACAAGAAAATAGCTTCAGAACAATATGAAATAATAAACTGCGTTAGGCTTTCACGGCCATCGTCTAACTTATTAAACTGTTTGTTCGGGATATTAGGCCGTTGTCTTCTGAGATTAGTTCTCGACGTTTCGCCAACACTAGGGGTTGGTATCTTCTGGAGATGTTGAAATGCTTCGCTTGTAAGCAGAAACTGACGCTGCGTCGTACTACGGAGGCAATATTTATATTTTCCACTCGCCTCCGCTCCACTGGTTTCGGCTTGAGGGGGCGTGTCGTTGTTTGTAGTAGTTTTTTTTACTTCGTGTTTGGGGGGAAAAATCCACAAACGCCCTTCCCTTTTTATTCAATTCTATACTAGGGTACTATAAGAGTCCACTTCGTGTGCTTCCCTAAAATCTTCTGCACACCTAACTTGTAAAACTTCTTTCTGTTAAATGTTAGTAAAGAATTAAAATAGGACACATATACAAAAAGAATTAGCCTTACTAATTAATTTCGGAAGTTTTTTTGGAACTATCAACTATTTTAGTCGAGCATTAGGGCTTTAACAAGATCTTAGGTTTGTTATTATTTTGCTTTTAGATTTGCAAAATATCCAAGAAGTATGTACATTGAAAATCGTTGTTTATTACTTCTGGGAAATTTATTAATATTCTTAATGTTAGGACGCCACTAGTATATCACAAGTTGTTTCAAGACGCTCTGGAATCTAGTGGAACGAATTTCTCAACTTAGAACAGACTGCTGAGTTGTATAATTAGAATTTGACCAACTCATATTACAAATAAATATACTATATTCGGAATGTTAATGTATCATAAAATCTATACAGAGCCAAGAAAAAGTAGTTATCTGTGCTACGCAAGATATAAAAGAACACATAAACCTGTGTCGAGGCTAACTCGCTTCCTACCTCTATTTTACGATCCATCGACTAATTAATATGCCGTCGAAAAGATGATCACACGGTATCACATGCGTTCTGCACACTTTTTCGCATCTGCAGATGCGAAATTCGTGCTGTGGTACGTTTTTTAAATGCAAAACGGATTTCAACTATGGACATTCATTGTCAGTTGATCGAAATTTATGGGGAAAAGTGCATATCTGTTCAACACATTCGCAAATGGTGTAGAGAATTCAATGAAGGACGAACGGAAATTCGCGATGAAGATCGAAGCAAAAAGGTCTAGAGTTTTAAACAAAATTGTCGAAAAAGTTGAAAGAATAGTGCTTGAAAATCGGAGGTTCACCATTAAAGACCTTGTTTTGCGTAATCCTGAGACTTCACACACTACAATTCATCAGATATTAACAGAAAAATTAGGCAATCACAAAGTGTATGCGCAGTGGGTACCGCGACTGCTTACAGAAAATCACAAACAGCAATGTGTCGAGTGTACCCGGCAGTTTTTGCAACAATGTGAAGACCAGTAAAAATTTTTGGATTCTATTGTTACAGGCGACGAAACATGGGTGTTTTATCCCTGAAACCAAGCAGTAATCACGTGAATGGACGAGCCAAGTTTACCGAAGAAGTGTAAACAAAGACAGTCTGCTGGGAAAGTCATGGTAACCGTCTTTTGGGAGAGGAAGGGGCTACTTTTAATCGACTTTTGTCTCATGGAACAACCGTTAACTCTGACAGATATGGCGAGACATTAAAAAGACTGAGAATCTCCAGAACCTAGGGCGAGGACGATTGTCCAGTGGTGTGAGACTTCTCCATGACAACCGCTCGACCTCACGTCTCACTAAACAACTGCTAAGAGATTTGGCAGTTGCTCCTTTAATTTTGGAAATAAGTAATAATCACTAGGTGCTAGGTCCCACAGTCCGAACCTAGCACCAAGTGATTATCACTTATTCCCAAAATTAAAGGAACAATTGGGTGGCTTATGCTTCAATACCATGGTGAAGTGAAGGAAGAAGTTTCTTGATTTGTCAAAGAATTGGTGGAAGAATTCTATAACATGGGGATAGAAAAGTTGCGAGAATTGTCTTGCAAAAGTGTGTGGACACAAATGGCGATTATGTAGAAAAACAGAGTTTTTAAATGTTTTATAACACTAAGAACAAAAATAAAGCTGTATATTTTTAAAGTGGATGGGAATCTTATTTTACGAATGGCCCTCGTATAGTGCGCGCAAGCACTCCTGACCAGGGCGCAGTAGACGAAATTTGGTTTAGTCCACACTTTCATGCGAAACGCATTGTACTATGCACTGTATAATTCCACTTACAATAGAACCTTTCTGCCTTTAGGTGAATTTGACTCCGCCTTCGCGCAGCTCCATGGTCAGGAGTGCTTGAACTATCTTTAACATGACATAGTTCTTATGAGAAGATATAAGGAAAGATTAAAAGAAGCATTAACAATCCTGGTAAATGAAGTACGGAAAAGAGGTCTACCAATTTCCCTTGATGAAGGAAAAACTAAATATTATAAATACTCTCTAGAAGAAAAGATAACAAGACGAAAGAAATCAAGATAGAAAACTATACTTTTCAAAGAGTTCTGCAATTTAAATACTTGGGAAAATTGTGATTGAGATACCATATGCCAATAAAGGTCAAGAACTTATCCAGAAATACAAAACTGAAAATATACAGAGTTGCAATCAGACCAGTAGTTACATATGCAGCTGAGATATGTGCCTCACAGATGAAGATGAAAAATTAAGAATATTCCAAAAGAAAATCCTCAGAAGAATTATGGGCCTGAAAAGAATGAAGCATGACATAAGAGACATGATGAAGGTACAGTTAGATTTATTAAAGTATGGAGACTAAGATGGCTGCGCCACATGGGGAGAAGGAAAAACGACCTAGTGAGTCACTAAAAGAAAGCCAGAAACTGAAAGACCGAGAGCAAGACCTAGGGAGGGATGGGAGGACCAGGTTCTGAGAGATATCCAAATCCAGAAAATGACTGGAAACTGAAGGGAACTCTACACAGATCGCAATGAGTGGAAGAATATTGTAACGAAAGTCAAATCATATAATATAAAAAACTTTGACAATAAAAAAGAAGAATGCGGAGGGATTCACCGTGATAAGCGAATGAAAGGGCCCAAGTAAGCAAACATTACACCAAGAATTGAAAGGCCTCGATGATGATGATAATTCTTTATGTAAATAATAAAAAATCTATAACATCCTGCCAACAATGTCTTCGCTTTAATGCTTTCACATATCTAAGCAGTATTTAATTTTAAATGAAAGTTGAAAAAAAAAATGTTCGGGAGTTGTTTAACAGCCATTTATTCGTAAAATAAAAAACGTTATTCGTAATTATATAATGTAATAAAATTAAGATTATTATAAATAAAGAAAAGAATAACCCTTAAATTGACATTACGCAAAAAATTATATCAGCTTACATCGATGTTACAGTAACAAAAGATTTTAGCTTACTACTGCTGCACTGAATAGATGCAACTGTGTCAAAACGATAATGACTTGTTTCGTTTCACTGTAAATATAAATTCGGGAAAGTTCATACTATGATTTAACTTATATAAAAAAAATACATAACAGGATGATAATTCAATATCATGTGTAGGGATAAACCGAATATGTTGCTTTAGTATTATGCATGTCTATTAGCAGTAGGCCTAGGTCCACTAGCGTTCCTATTCTGGTTTTGCTGTCGTGGCCTATTGTAACCGTTGTTTTGGTAGTAAGACTGGTTGTTGTTAGGCCTTGGTGGGCCTCTGTTTGGTGGTGCTCCTCCGTCTTTGCCAATCTGAAGCGTTTCTTCAGGTGACCTCAAAGTATCATCTATCCCATTGTTGCCCATCTGTATTTGAGGAAGTTGGTGATTGTTTGGTGTCAAATTATTGGGCATATTTGCAAAATGAGGTGGTAACTGAACAGGATGAGGTGGATGGCTGGAGAAATTTTGGTTCGTGAAAGTCTGGCTAGCAATTTGTTCCGGGGGATCAATTTCAGAGTCCTGCAAAATAAATTTATATTAAGGAAACATTGTTTTACAGCCAGCATAAAAAAATAAATGCGAACCACTTTAAAAACTACAATTGTGTGCTCTACAATTAGATGACCTCTTTTCAAAACAATTTCGTTCTCCTTTTACAAGATCCAGCTATTTGTTTAGACAGATAAAAGGCATCTTTCTTACCTGTAAGAAAAAGAAACTTCCAGTTCCAAGCATTTCGGTTATTGGTCTAGGCGGTTGCGGTTGTGGCGGAGGCGGTTGCTGAGGTAGTTGTTGATAAAACATAGGCGGTTCATTCGTCAAGGTTGGTTCCAACGGCGGCTGTTCCACCGGCGTTGGCGGCGCTTGATGTAAGGTAGAACGATTTTCTATTGTCAAACTTTCAATCAATGGCATATCAGGTGGCGCTGCTGTCGTCGGCTGTGTGGGTTCTGGTAGGGGCTGTGGAGGCGGAGGGACCATCACAGCTCCAGTCTCATGGTTGTTTAATGGCTCAGGTGCGATAACCTCCGGTTCATCCACTAATTCAGGTTCGACAACCGCGAACTCCTCATATACCTGTAAATATTTCATATATTTTGAAGATTCTTACAGTTTGTTCCAAATATTTCATAAAGCCTAACAATATATCTTCAGGTTAAGAACTACCAGTTTCATTTTGGTTACATTTGTTGCAAAAAACTTTAAGAAACTGTAATCTCTCAGTAGAGATATATGTATAAAAATGCTAAATGCTTTACAAAATATTGTGAGGCAAAGTTATGACGTTTCTAAGTAATTGCTTACAAAAAAGATAAGAAGACTACGGAAAAGCTATATCAACATAATTTTGGTTGCTCGATTATATGAACAAATTGGGGGACGTGAACTGGAAAAATATTGTAAAAATAACCAATATAAATTCATAACAAGAAGTATTAAATTTACTAACAAGAAAAATAATATTACTAACGAGAAACAGACAACATATGGCCAATATTCGGACCCAGAGATCAGAATATACTTTTCAGAAGGTTTTTTGTGCACTAAAGCCGAATCTAAGATCCAAATTGACAAATTGGCTCTGGTTTATGAGATTATCTAACCTAAAAGTGCAAAAATAGCAGTTTTTTGCCATTTTTGAGGTTATGTAGCTTCACAATATAATTTTTCTCACAGAAACTCTTATAACTATCTTTTAAATGAAGTCAAGTTTACTCAAGTATAGTATTTTTCGCTGATATATCACATTTTAAAGTTTCTTGGATTAAAAAACATACAAACTATAATATACTTATATAGTATAATGAAAAATTTTAATTTAGAAATCCTAAACTCATAAAACATTATTCCAACAACCTCAAACCTGAGAACCCAAATCCAATAATCATAAACCTACACACCCCAAACCCAATCAAGCCCTAGAAACCATCACTTTCAGTCTGCAAGCAGGCAACCCCACGTAACCCTGGAAGATTAATTGCTTATTGTATCATATTGAAATGAATGAGATGGAGCTGCCAAAATATATTTATAACCGCCAAAATATATTTATTTATAACAAGAATAAATGGAGTGAGAAGGAGAGGCAGATCCAGAGCATGGTTTAAGGATCAGGTGGAGGAAGACTTCAGAACGGAGACATCTTTGAGCAGGCCAAGACCCATCATGGGTTGTGGAGCCAATGATGATGATGATCATATCGAAATAAAATCACATACAGTAATTGTGTTTACTGACAGAAACAAAACATCTCTACACCAATGAACCCCCTACTACAAACCACCCCTTTTAAACCAGAAGCAGGAAAACCCATCTAACCTTAGAATCCATAAGATTAATTGCTAATTTTTAGTATCAAAAAGAAATCATGAACAGCAAGCCAGTTTATTCGTCAAACCAATACACCCTTAAACCAACCAACCCCTAGAAATTACACTTTTTATTCTACAAGCAGACAAATCAACCTAATCAAGAAATCCCTAAACAAGCTAGTTTACTTTTTTTTCCCAAGTTTTTCCCAATCATCCATAGAAGCCACCTTTCAGTCCACAAGCAGACAAACCCACAAACCCGTGAGATAATTTATTTTTTTGTTATATCCACCCCTTTTAATTCACAAGCAGAAAAATCCACCTAACCACAAAACTGATATTTTTGCACTTTCAGGTTTGGATATTTCAGAAACCAGACCCAATTTGGCAATTTGGAGCTCAGGTTTATATTTAACTCACCAAAAACCTTCGGGAAAGTATACTCTGTTTTTTGGTCTCAGGCTTGTCGGCCTGTGTTATTTGTTGTCAATCGATTTTTGTCAATAAAGATATTTTTATTATATTAAGTACGAGATAAAAACTACAAAATTTACCGGAAAAGGATTTAAGGTAATTAAAAATTAAAAAATACCTGCGCCTGGTCAAAATATCCACTTTCATGAATCTTTCCTAATATTTCCTTAATTTGGCTGTAGGAGCCTCCAAATACTTCTTTAGGTTTACCATCAACGGCTGCTAACAGATGCTCAGCAGCCGCTTGTACTTCATTCATAAAGGCGGTAGCATTGCCAGCTTCATGTTTTGGTGTCACCTCAGGGTATAGGTCATCTAGTAGTCTACAAAAAGACATCCAGTTTTAGTCCAGAGTCTATACAATAAAAACAAAATAAAAGGAGCAATAATATTAACTTTTAAAAAAATTTATGAATCGAAATAAAAGTTCACCCAACATTGAAATAAAACGCGTTTTTTCACGTACATACATGATGAATCCGTTGTTAAAATTGCTCTAGCCAACCATTGTATACATACGTAGGCGGTCCGATAAGTACTTAGCCTTATCGCCAGATGACGCCATAATCTCAAGAGAAATTTATTATTGTGTAATACATTCTCCTAGACGGCTAACCTCAAAATTCCAGCCGATTCTGACTAGTAGTTTGGTTTTGACTGAGTGTGAACTCAGGCGGTGATTCGATTCTTGCTTTTTTTGACAATTTGCAAATTTGTCTCTATCTTCTGTTTTTCTTAAGAGCATCTGTGTGTTTAACCCGGTCCAGTCGCGAATGTTTTTCAGCCAGGATATTTGTAGTCTACCAGAACTCCCTTTTTCCTTCGATTTTCCCTTCAAAATCAGCTGCAACAATTCAGTGAAAACGCGCTATCGGGTTCTATTTTGCGTTAAGGCCTTCACCTCATTCTAAGACTTTCCTTGGCCTCTTATCTCGTCCATGATGGATCTTCTCCAAGTTTGTACTGGGCGACCTCTTTTTCTTTTCCCTTGGGGATTCCACTCTAGGGCAGTCTTTGCGATACTGGAACTATTTTTTCGGAGTGTGTGACCGATCCAACCCCACTTTCTCGACTTAATTTCATTTTGTACCAATTGATGGTGTTAGGCCAGAATGTACGAACAATTCTTCATAGACATTTGTTAACAAAGACCTGCAGTTTGTCTGTGAGGGTGTTTGTCACTTTCCAGGTTTCACATCCGTAGAGTAGAACAGACATGACATTTGATCGAAATATTCCGATCTTTGCCCTGGTAGTATACTCGCCAGATCTCCAAACAGGGTTGAGCGTGCTGAAAGCTTGTTGGGCTTTTCGTATCCTCATACGAATATCGTCTTCTGTACCTCCGTTTTCTGTTATGACACTTCCAAGATATGTAAAGTTTTCTACATTTTCAATCTGCATATTGTCGATAGTAAATAGCGTGTTGTTCCTTGCATTTATTGTCATGGACTTGGTTTTACTAATATTGATTTTCAAACCTATTTTATTGGCTTCAGTGGAAAGTGTTTCCAATTGGTAAGCTTGATCTTGGAACCTTTGACCTAATAGGCAGATATCGTCCGCGTATTCTAGATCGCTTAGGCGTGTGATTAACGTCCATTGTATCCCTCTTGTGTCGGAGTCTAGTTTGGAGAGAACATAGTCTATAGCTATGTTAAAAAGAAACGGAGAAAGCATGCATCCCTGTCCAGTATGTACTCCAGTAAGTAAGTCGAATTCATCACTGTTGATCCCATTATGTGTCACCCTGCATTTCGCATCAGTATATAGTGACTTTAATAGAAATTAT